ATATTATGTGCTATGTTAAAATGAGTTTTAGTTAAAATTTTAAAAATATTCAGCTATATTATGGAAAAGCCGAGAGCTATAATAGTAATAAAAAAAATTTGTTGAATTTGTTTTTTTTTTAATTTGTAGAATCTTCATTATTTGAAGCATCTTGATTTTATTAATAATGGGTTGTTAATTTATGATATAATATGCAGTTGTTCAGTTGAAATTTAGAATCAAATTAGTCAAATAAATATAAAATCAAGAGTAGGAGATATTAGGTGATTTAGTTGAGAAAAATAATTTGTAAATGATATTTTATAAGAAATTGGTGAAGTTTGTCTCCTAAAATTCAGCTATAAATAGGAGAATTCATCCATTATAGTAGTACCTCATGAAAAATAGAAGAAGAATGTTATAAGATATATAAATAGCAAGAATTGAGCAAGTTTGAGAGGAACCGAGTATTTCCGAGAGTGCATGAACCAAGTTTTATTGTTTTTTTTTTCTTAAGTTTTGAAGAGGTATGTTATCAAATCTTAATAGCATCATTTATAACTAAAAATTATAAGTGTTTATATGTGTTTTAAATATGCTATCATGTTTAGAAATTTTAACAATTAATATATAAATAAGCATGATATTTTTTTTCAAAACGACAGAGGATTTATATTATAACTCAAGGAGGACATAGTCGTAATACATTCTTCAAATACAATACAAACCGCAAACCATGAATTGGGAGACACACCAAAATGGTGGTCTAGAGCCTCAACAAGAGGAAAGATCTCCAAAATACAACAAAAGAAAAGAAGAAATAGAAAGAACAGGTGCCTTCTACTGCCAAGGGCCTAGAAGGGAACATGATCTCAAAACTGAACAACAAACAAAACTATAAACATACAGACAACAAGTTCATGCCAGCAGACCTAAAGCAGACTGATATTGCATCCAATCAGCATGAGCCACCTTCATCACTGTTGCTGCTGGCATAAGGGAGTTTTGAAATATCTATAAATTCCTTGACTTCCAAAGTCACCAAAGGATGTATGTAGAAAGTTGTATCCTTGCTTCAGCAACTTCAGACTTGTCAAAAGAGCAAATGTGGAACCACCAAAGTTTGAAAGAATCAGTATGAAATGTAATTCCATCCCAAGTCACTGGTGATATATCTCAAACTCTACTAGCTATTGAGCAGTTAAGCAACACATGTTCAGTGGTTTCAGAGGCTTTCCCACAGATAGAACATATGTGATCTATTGGGACCTTTCTTTTTTTCGACAAATTGGCCACTGGTAGGGTGCCTGCAATGCACTTCCATATGAAGTGTTTGAGTTTTCCTGGCACTTTTAGTTTCCAGTACCTGAATTGCACAGCTTTCACAAATGTATAACTGGTGCTGCTCTCAGGAATGTCTAAGTGAGCTACCTTGATATTAGATAGCTCCTTATAAGTGCAGGAGATAGTGAATTGTCCTTTCTTGTGCAGCCCCCAAAAAAGTTTGTTTGTTCTTTCTGAGTGAAGGGATGAGATTCTGAGAATAGCTTCACTGTCACCATGATCAAATACTTGCTTAACCAGCCATTCATTCCAGGATAAGCCATCATCACTAAGAAGATCCTTTACCCAAATAAGATGATCTCTGGCAATTTGAATAAGAGTAGGAGCAGGTTTCATAAGAGCAGGCACCCAGTTGAAGTCAGCTATTTCGGTAGCAGCTCCATTTCTAATTTCTGTGATAACCCACTTAGCAAAGAAATGCATCACCTCCATCCATGAGTTCCATATTCAGGATCCTTTGTGGGTATTTTCAGCATTAGTAATGGCTGTTTGAGGGAAATACCTATCTTTAAGCAGCTTGCTAACAAGAAGGTCAGGATTGGAAGCTATCCTCCATAGCTGTTTACAAATGAGAGCCTGGGTGAGTACCTGCAAATCCAGAAATCCTAGCCCTCCATTCATCTTGGGTAGAGACATTACATTCCACTTTTTCCAATGTATTCATGTGGACTGTTGATCATTTGATTGCCATCAAAAGTTTGCACATAGTTGAGAGATCTCAGAGCATATAGCCAAGGGGAGTTTGAAACATGACATTGTTAAGATAGCATTGCCTGGATCACTGATTTTAGCAACACCTCCTT